CACGTGCTGATCACCCTTCGTTAACAGTAATGGCTCAGGCCAGTCTGTGGCCCTCGTGGTCCCCAGTTCAGGTGGGGGCAGCCCAGAAGGTGTGTCTACACTGAGGGCAGGGGAGGCCAGCGTGCAGGGCTGAGGGCCAGCCTGGAAGCTGCCTAGGGTCTAGGTCTCATCCCGGGTGACAGTTTCAATTCTCTGTGCCCAAGTTCCCTCGTCTGCAAAATGGGGCCACGCAGGGGGCGCATTAGACAGCCCTGAGAGACACCCAGTCTGCCAGAGCCAAGAACAGGCTGGAGGAAGGCAGCTCCCGGGGCCCCTGTGGGGCGAAACTCTCCTGCCAAGGCCCCGCTGCACCAGTTGCTCCTGGTTCTACCTTCAAGACGTCTTCCTAACCCTTTTGAAAAACTAGCGCAACGTGGTTTCAGGGTTTCAATTTGTGGCCATGATCTGAATGCTGGTGTCCTCCCTGAATCCACACATTAAAACCCTATCACCAGCCGGGCTCGGTGGCTCAGCCTGTAATCCCGCGCCTTTGGGAGGCTGAGGTGAGTGGATTGCCTGAGACCCGCCTGGGCAGCGAGACCTCATCTCTACAATAAATCGAAAAATCAGCCAGGCCTGGTAGCGCATGCCTGTAATTCCGGCTCCTCAGAAGGCTGCAGTGGAAGGACCGCCGGAGCCCAGCAGGTTGAGGCTGCGGCGGCCGGGAGCGGCCATTGCACTCCAGTCTGGGCAACAGAGTGAGACTCCAGCTCAAAAAAATACTACTACTAATAATAATCTGTTGTATATAAGCCACCCAGTCTTCAGTATTCCAGTAGCCCAACCAAACTAAGACCGAATCCACGCAAAAAAAGACGATAGTATCACTACCCTGCTGTGGTTTACTACTACTGCCATCACTGTTGCTATGGTTACTGCTGCTGCTGTTCCTCCTCCTATTAGAATGATTCGTTGAAATGATATGAGTGGCCAGTTTTTGACCTTTCATTCTGCATCGAGCCCCGTGCTAGACCCTTTATAAAGGTGACCTCACAGAACCTTCACAGGTGCCCCATAAGGCAGATTCTTGTTATGACCACACGACAGAGGAGAAAATAGGTCCAGAGAACTGAAGTGACTTGCCTAAAACACACGCAGCCAGGGAGACTCTGAACCCAGATCTGTCTGATCCAGAAGACCTATGCCTTCCACCACACCAAACCACAGTCAGAACCCTCCTGGGCTGGGCTATGATGAGGAACCTCCCTTGTGAAATAAATTTCTTATATTTGAAAAGCTAAAAGCTCTCAGTAAAAACACTCTCCTTCCAAATAGCTATCTGATGTTCTTCCAAATGAATATTTTTACCCTGTTAAATGTGACTCCTAGATTTTCAAATATATGCCCTAAGCTTGTCCGTTGTGACTGCTAAGGAAGCCCCCCTCCCCTGTGCATCCTGAAACACAAGCCTCCTTTAAAAAAGGAAGCCATAAAACTGATGCTTAAGAACCAACATGAAAGTCACCTGGCTTCTGTCTGGTGAACATTCCCCCTCATTTCTTCCCATAGACAGATTTTTCTTAAGAAGCAGCTAGTTGACCACATTTCAAAAAATTCCAAGTTTGTGGGCTTATCTCCACAAGAGATTATGCTCAAATAAACCAACATTTCTATGTATCTAGGTCTTGCCTATGGTAATGAAGTCTCACTGACTGAGTTACCCTGAATTCTAGAAGGAATGAATCTGGGTAGTGCCCTCTGAGGATTCCACCCAAGCAATACAGGAAGTCTAGCTGTCTACAGCTGTCTACAGCCAGTTTGAAAGGGGTCTGGAGTGCATGCCCAGGCCGGGGAGGAGTGCCCACTGAGGGGATGTCCTTCCCGTTCAGACACAAAAATATCCAGGAGCTTGGAGGAGTATGAAGACAGAGATTAGCTGTTTCTAGAATCTGGCATTTCTTGGACGAAGAAAATTTCGGAAGCACTGAGTAGACTGACAGAGTTAAGAAAGCGAGATGGCCATGCACAGTGACTTAGCGCTTTGGGAGGCCAAGGTGGGAGAACTGCTTGAGGCCAAGAGTTTGAGAACAGCCTGGTCAACTAGCCAGACTCCCTCTCTATAACATAATTTAAAAAAATTAGCTGAGCATGATAGTGTGCACGCCTACAGTCACAGTTTCTTGGGAGGCGGAACTGGAAGAATCACTTGAGCCCAGGAGTTTGAGGCTGCAGTGAACTATGATTGTGTCACTGCACTCCAGCCTGGGCCACTGGGGGGGGAGGGAGGAAGGGAAGGGGAAGGGGAAGGGGAAGGGAAAGGGAGGGGAGAGGAGGGAAAGAAAAAAGAAAGAAAGGAACGGCAGGAAAGAAGGAAGGAAGGGTTTCTGTGGGTGGGGGGCACACCTCATCAACAAGGGTACCTGCATAATGAACATTTGTATACCTAACCCTGAACTGTACCCCACATCTTTAAAAAAAATTTAAAAATAAAAATAAATTGTCAGCACAAGATGTAAAACAATACGCAGCATAATAAAGGACAAAAGTATGGACCTGGCAGCAACTGAGATGGATGTAGAGTCCACCCTACTCAGGGATCTCTCACAGAAACAGACCTGAGTACCACATGTTCTCACTCATTGGTGGACCCCGAACGTTAATCATGATGCTACATGAAAGGGATTGGCAGCAGTGGGACACTGCCAGGGGACGGGAGTGCCCATAGCTCGGAGAAGGGTGCCTGAGCCCAAACCAGGCAACGGGAGGACCAAAGGGAGGCCCGAACATCACCTGTATGGTGACCACTTATGTACCTAACCCTGAATTGCACCGCACACCTTTAAAATGAAAAAAAAATTAGCATAGACAGCGTGGGGAAAAAAGGAGGAAGGAAGGAAGGAAGGAAGGAAAGGAAAGGAAAGGAAAGGACAGAAACAAAGAAAAATCAAACACCACAACAAAACCCCAAACAGCAGAGCACCAAACACCACATACTCACACATACCCACGGTATCTTTTACCACTACCATTCAAAAAGAAAAGATGTTTTTTGGGTAACCCCTTCGGGTCCCCTCCCACTGTGGGAGCTTTCCTGTCCTCTCAATAAATCCTGCCTAAAAAAACAGAAAAAAGAAAAAAAAACATGTTTTTCTTTTTTCTTTTTTTTTTTTTTTTTAGTTGGAGTCTCACTCTGTCGCCCAGACTGGAGTGCAGTGGCCGCTCCCGGCCACCGTAGCCTCCACCTGCTGGGCTCCGGTGGTCCTTCCGCCTCAGCCTCCCAAGTAGCTGGAACTACAGGCGCATGCTACTACGACCGGCTGATTTTTTTTGATTTATTGTAGAGATGAGGTCTCGCCAAGTTCCCCAGGCAGGTTTCAAACCCGTGGGCTCAGGCAATCCACTCACCTCAGCCTCCCAAGGTGCAGGATTATAGGCTGAGCCACCGAGCCCGGCTGAAAACATGTTTTTTAAAAGAACAAAAGCATGGAAAGGCTAGAGGCTCCGAGTGAAAGACAACCCTTTCTAAGAAAGAGTGGAACTTTGAGGCCATGATCCACACGCACGCAGAGCTGGGGAGGAAGGCTCGCAGACACACAAAACATCCTCCCCATTCCTGCTGAGGGGCCAAGCTTGTCCTGGCTGGTCTGGGCCACCTCAGTCACTGAGCAGCATAAAGGAGCTCAGATGATCCCACTCACTTTGCCCTGTCCACCCGGGGAGGCTCAGGCAGAAGGATCGCCTGAGCCCCAGATGCGGTGAGCCACGAGCTGTGGTAAGCTATGATTGTGCCACTGTACCCTAGCCTGGAGGACAGAGTAAGACCCTGACTTAAAGAAAAAGAAAAAATTAATTGGCAGGAAGCCTCTTGTTAATCTATAGAGTATATGGTTTTGGTTTTTTTTTCTTTAAAACCTAAATGTCAATGCCCTTGAGTCCTTCACTTTTTTTTTTTTTTGAGTTAGAGTCTCACTCCATTGCCCAGACTGGAGTGCAGT